ACCTGGACACCTGTTTCCTTCCCAGATTAGGGAAGTTTTCAGTGATTATTTCCTTAAATAAGTTTAAGCCCCCTTCTCTTTCTCTCTTCCTTCTGGGATTTCTATAATGTGAATGTTATTACATTTATCTACTCTCATTTTTTATTATTATTATTTTTCCTTTTCACCTTAGTTGCTTTTTATTACCCTGTCTTCCAGATCACTGATCCATTCTTCTGTATCCTCTAATCTGCTGTTGATTCCTTCTGTGGGTTTTTTTGTTTTGTTTTGTTTGGTTTGGTTATTGAGTTCTTCAGCTCTGTTTTGTTATTTTTATATTTTCCTCTTTGTTGAAGTTCTCACTGAATTCATCTACTTTTCTGTCAAGTTCAGTGAGTATCTTTATAACTATTACTATAAATTCTTAAAATCAGGCATATTGCTTATGTTGTTTCATTTAGATCTTTGACTATGATTTTTGTCTTGTTCTTTCATTTGGGACCTATTCCTCTGTCAATTCATTTTGTCTCTCTGTGTTTATTTCTATGTCTTAGGTAGGTCAGCTACATCTCCTGGTCTTGAAAGTATTTGCCTGGTAAAGAAGGGGTCTTGTGGTGCCCTGTAATTCAATCCCCTCTGATTACCAGAACCAGATACTCCAGGGGTATCCCCTATGTGGGCTGCATGCACCCTCTTGCTATGACTGAGCTGTAATTGCTTTCAGCCCAACTGGCTGCAATGACCTGCTCTGTCTGCTATGGACACACTGGGCAGGGTTTGGTCCCTATGCTGTTGAGAGATCTGTCTGAGGTCACTGAGGTCTTCTTGATGAGTTGGGCTGGCAGTCAGATTAACTGTTTGCCCTTAGCCTCTCTGCCACAGATGCAGGGATACCAAAGGGCAGGGCTTGCTCTCTGGGCAGTCAAGTAATAGCCCCATCTGCTACAACTGCAATGGTGATGTGTAGGATTATCTTCCTCCCTCCTCTGGGCAGGAGTCACTTTGGAGTGGCACTCTTCCTGGCCAGAGCTGCCTATAGAGTATCACAGGGCAGGAACTGCTTTGGAGGGATGCCTGCTGAGGTTGGCAGTTTGAATAGGGTAGGTTCTGCAGGGGAGCACAGGGCCAGGGCTCATATTGCTAGCAAGGTAGATAGAAAGTATTAGTGCTAGCTTCCACAAACATCAGGCTATCTAGGCTGAAAGAATGGAACAGAAACTCTTCTTGGAGATATATCCTGAAGGTCCTGCCTCTCCAGCACATGTGCTAAGATTAGTCAATAAATCTGCATGTATACCCCAGGCACTTTTCTAACTGCTTTTTCTATGCTGTGTCCTGGGCTGAGTTATTTATTATGCTGGCTTTTTAATGGAGCTCAGTTTCCTATCACCCTCCAATTCTCCCAGAGTTAAGCTCACTAATTTTTAAAATTCCTGAAATTGGGGATCCCTGGGTGGCGCAGCGGTTTGGCGCCTGCCTTTGGCCCAGGGCGCAATCCTGGAGACCCGGGATCGAATCCCACGTCGGGCTCCCGGTGCATGGAGCCTGCTTCTCCCTCTGCCTGTGTCTCTGCCTCTCTCTCCCTCTCTCTGTGTATCTCATGAATAAGTAAAATATTTAAAATAAAATAAAATAAAATTCCTGAAATTAACCCCTGCTGGTTTTCAAAGCCAGATGTTATGGGACTCATTTTCCCAATGCAGGTCCCTATGCCAGGGTGCCTGGTACTGGGTCTGACACTCTCATTTCTCTGTGCTTGCGATGTTCTTCCCACTTGAGGTTAGTCTCACTAGGAGAGTTTGGTTCCCAACTGTTTCTCTACCTTTCCTACCCTTTACAACATGGTTTTCTAAGATTAACTGTGGAAGGTCTGTTCTGCCAGAATTCAAATCATTTTCAGAGTTAAATATATAGATGTAGCTGTTATCTCTGTGTGCCCATGGGGCTAACTGAACTCAGTATGCTCCACTGCCATCTTCCTGCCTCACCTCAACAATCTGTGCTTTAATTAGCCTTACAATTAACTCTGGTACTTGCTGGAGTTTAAGAACCACTGCTCTAGAGTGTTTTGTTTTTCAGATAATATTTAAACTTATATTTCTTACAAATACCTAGTCAAGCAATAATTACACACATTTACTTCATGTCAATTAGCTAATTTCCCATGCAGGTATAATATGAGATTTTGGTTTGGGCTGCTACTAAGTTTTTTTTTTTTTTTGGCAAAAGCCATCATGAATGAATGCATGAATAAAAATGATTTTATTAATTTTTATTGTAATTTAATTTACAAACAATAAAAAGGAACAGATATCAATTGTAGAGTTTTGGTTTTAACAATTGTCATACAGCCACCATCTGAACTATAGAACATTTCCACTCTACCTCCCCAAGAAATTTTCCTTATGCCCTTTCCTAGCCCAACTTTTCTTCCTGTACTCACCAAATTATTGATCAACTTTATATCACTGTAGATTAGATTTTTTTCTGAAGTTTCCTATGAATGGAACCATGCAGTATATGATCTTTTGTGTCAAGTTTCTTTCCCTCAGCACAATATCTATGAGATTTATTCATATCATTATCAAGAGTTTGTTCTTTTTTACTGTTGAATAGTATTCTATTGTGTGAATGTACCACAATTTGTTTATCCATTATTGTTTTTAATGAATGTTTGGGTTGTTTCCAGTTTGGGGCTATTATATCTAAAAGTATTTTAGTTTTTAAAAGCTTCATATTTTAATGAAGTTCACTGCCTCTAGAATGCTTAGTCAAAATCATTTCCCCTCATCATTGCAAGATATTGTTCTATTATTGTCTTCCATCAGAATTGTTGAAAAGTCTGATATCAATCTGATTATTATGTTGTTTATTTATAGGTAACCTATGGTTGTTTTTGTTTTCTCTGGAATATTTTACAATTTTATGTTTATTTTGACAATCTAAATTTCCACCAGTGTATTCTGTGTTGAATACATTCAGGATAATTCCCTCAGCTCTATCATCTAGTTACTAAGTCTCTCTCCAGCTGTGTTTAATCAGCTATTTAACCTACCCATTACCTTTTAAATTTCAATGACTATATTTTTAAATTTCTATGAATACTCTCTGGTTATTTTTCAATCTATTTTTTAAATGTCATTTTACCATTTTATGTATTTTTAAGTGCTTTTAGACTGTTTTGCTCATTCTAAACATACTTATTTTATAGTTTGTTACTGACCATTTTTATCATCTGAGGCTCTTAGACGTCCATTCTGACTGTATGTTTCTGCTGATGCTTGCTTTTTGGTGGATTTTCATGTGTATTTTACAATTTTGGATGAGCTCACATTTGGCTGACTTTATCACAGGAAATTCTGGTTAGCCTGGTTTGAAAATATGTTCCTTCAGTTTTCACATTTACTTCTTTCTGGAAGCCTATAACTTTTTCAAGTTTAGGACTCCATTTATCTGATATATTGGCTAGCAGGAAGCATAAGCTCAAACAGCAAATCAGAGGCAGAGCAAGGTAGAATTTCTTTATAACTCACATAGATCCCAGGCCAAATAGACAAACTTTCTTATTGTCTCTGGGCGGATTTGGATATTTCACATTTTGACTGACAAAGTAGTTTGTCCAGTGTTTTGGTTTTATACAAACATCTTAGTTTCAACTTCCTGCCTGCCACAAGGTGAATGTCCCTATCCACCCATTAAAATTCAAATCTCTAGCTTATTGCAATTAGTAACCCCATTTTTGCCCCCAACCGTCTCCCCCTCCAGGTCAGCTTTTTATTATTTTTTGCAAGGGAGGCCTATAGGAGATTCAGTTTGGAGTAGGAGGGGCTGTGTGGAAGTTCTTGAATCTGAACCTGGAGAGGAATACCTGCCTTTCCAAACCAGGAGGCTAGTGTTCAGCTTACAGCCACTTTTTGGCTGGACATCAAATAATGAAGACTGATGCTTTCTCATCTGTCTATTTCTTCTGCCTTCACTCATTTTCTGTTTGTGGGAAGTTGTCCTTTACTCTCCCCATTTTTTTTAAAGATTTTGTTTATTTATTCATGAGAGACACACAGAGAGAGAGGCAGAGACCCAGGAAGAGGGAGAAGCAGGCTCCACGCAGGGAGCCCCACATGAGACTCGATCCCGGGTCTCCAGGATCAGGCCCTGGGCTGAAGGCGGCGCTAAACCACTGAGCCACCTGGGCTGCCCTTTACTCTCCCCTTTATCCCATATTGTTTTTTTGCTAGCAGCTGGACCATTTTTCACTGTGTGTCTTCCTGACTCCAGCATATTTACTAAAAAATAGATGTGCTGCTTTACATCCCCCAAACCACACACAGACAAAACCATTTGCTTAGATTTCACAGCATATGAATACAGATATTAGAACTCCAAAGTGCCATAATCTAAATTGGCCTCACTTTTGGGGATTCATGGTTTATCTATCTCAGCCCACACTTCTATCCTTCAGAGTGTAGTGGCCCCTGCTCAGGCCTCATCTCTCAGAACTATGTATCAGAGCAGTAAACCAACCCAGTTTCTGACAACTGGGATAGCCAATTTGGGGAACAGCCTGAACCAAGAGTCCTTAACCAAATGCCAACTATGCCCCCTCTTTGGTCAAGGTGATCCTTAGCTTGCTCCTGGGTCCTTTAAGCAGAGTCCCACTGCCCTTATTTCTCCTATCTGGCCTGCATCCAGGTCTGGCTTGCATTTAGTAGATTTGGGACCACCCAGTATGGAATGGGCACTGGGTATTTGTTTTCCTCAAGTGCAGAACAGAATGTTCAGTGTGGGGCTTAGAGGTCTGTGGGAGCCCAGGCTGCCAAATATGAGCTATTCTGGGGCCCTGCATGTGGATGAAGTCACTGGGACACCCAGGCTGGCCACGTTGGACTTTGAGTGTGAGTTGCTCATAGCCCTGCTGAACTTTGCAAAAGAAAGGAAAGTTTGTTTGGATTGTGCTTATAACCTTTGAACCTGTTATCTCAGAGCCATAAACCTGGTCCACTACCCTATAAAAGTAGCTCATTTCAACATGTTCTCCCTGTAGCCTGCTCTTTGACATTCAATACTCATCTACACTGAACCAGAAGCTTTCACCATGACAAAGGACCAGAATGGAACGTGGGAGATGGAGAGTAATGACAACTTTGAAGGTTACATGAAGGCTCTAGGTAAAGGGGAGACCAGGGCTGGGGGGAGGAGGGGCATTTTGGGAACTATTGTCCAGCCCTCCAGACCAGTACCACCATGGAGTCCAACAGACCTGTGTGTAAGCCTCACTCTTTATTTGCTAGCTAGGTAATAATAGGTAAGTCATACAAATTCTCTGAAGCTTGGATTCCTCATCTGTAAATTGGGAATAATAGTAAATGGGATTATGTCTGAAATATCCTTAGCATAATACCTGGAACACAGAAAAGATACATGAATGGAGGGTACACACACATGCACACACACACACACACACACACGGAGTAAAAACAAACTTGACAGAATAATGCAGTAGCTCTCTTCCCCCCTTTGATCACCATCTCCCAGATCACCAATTGGGACATAATATTATCCATGAATGGCCTCTGCATCGCTCTTGTGTCAGACTTGTGATGGGGAAGCAGACAAGGAGTGGCTTATAAATTTCTCAGCTAGAGAATATCAGACCCACAGAAGGCTAGGAGTGGTTTTTGTCACATGGATCAAACAACTCACTGCTTTACCTGACTTTTGAACTGGACTCTAAGCCAAGAGCTTGATCAGTGTGTCTTGAGTTGACTCTCCTGTGGGATCTCCCATGGGCTGACAGAAATCACATAAAATCTGAAGGAGTTGCTGACTGTGTGGGGCAGCTGCTGTGGGCCAGGCACTGGGCAGGGAGCTTTGGCTGCCTGTGCTCATTTCATCTGGTAACAGCCTCCTCATCACCTTTCCAGCTTTAGAGCTCTTCATGTAAGGAGCTCCTGGTTGGAATCTCCCCACTGCTGGGGCTCCCTGTGGGATCAGAGGCCCAATAATTTGGATATGACAACGGGAAGTCTCAAGAATGGGAATTGTGGGATTTTCTGTGCAATAATTTCTAACTTGATGAACATTTCTACCGTGTTCAATAAACAAGAGCTGGGATATATTGCACAATTTATAGAGGTTGAAACTTTCTTCATGTACTCTAAACATGTTTCCAACATAAAATTGCTTTGTTTTTCCTCCTGGATGTCAGAATTTTACCTCAAATCCTTGGAGAAGGACAGGGGAGGCACAAATCTTCCTACCAGAGCCCCCGCCCTGCTGCTCTGTGTTTAGTGCACTGAGTAGGAAGTAGAATGGAAGATTGATTCTACACATGGGCGGATGGTCTGGAGCTTAGCTCAGAAGTGTAATTCTGACCAAGATCATGCAAGTGAGGAAACCAAAACAGAGGGGTTGGCCCAGTTAAGCCTTGCTTTCTAAACTTGACCAATTGTTTAACCTTCTGGAATCAGTTTCTTCATCTGCCAAATAGGAATTTTCTGGCTTGGGTTTCCTCATAGGATACTTGCTATGTCCAAAGAGAGAGGAGGCAGAGGCTGAGTGGCCTTTTATAACCCAGGCTCAAAAATCATACAGCATCACTTACATTGTATTCCATTGGGTTGAAATAGTCATGAGCCCACCCACATTCAAGGGAAGGACACATAGGCCCCATTTCTCAGTGAGAGGAATATCAAAGTCACATGCAATGAACAGCATGTACAACAAGAAATATTATTGTAGCCATTTAAGAGAATGTGATCTGTCACCCAGGGAACAGTGGGTGATTCCATCCCTTGGACCCCTAGCAATAGAACAATAGGAATAAGATACATGTGTGGGGTGATGGAGGGAGCTACTGTACACAGGTCATTGAAGGCTTCCTAAGTGTTGGGTGAGGTTTTGGAGGATGGAGGGAATTTTTCCACACATGCTTGGTAGGCGTGTGCAAAGCCCAAGCCAGTAAGAATGTAGTGTGGAACAGGGGAACAGAAGAAGGTGTATTGCCAGAGGGTGAAGTGCAAGGAGGGGATGAGAGAGGGTCAGAATGGTGTCAGGTCAGATCTTGAAGGTGGTGTGCCACCATGTGTGGACTTATCCTACAAGGATCCTACAAGGACAGGAATTGTCTGCACAGTAAAGAGAAGCAAGCCAAGGGCTGTTTGGCAGTTTCAAGCTCTCAGCTGTACTGACAAGCCCGACTTAGGGAAAATGCTCAGAAAGCTATTTTGTGTTCTTTGTTGCATATTCCTAAATAATACAAAATCCTGTGTGGCTTTATGTACAAAACTGAGTCTCAGTTCAGTTTTCAGTTGTGCAGACTGGCCCCTAGTGCCCCTCTCTCCAGTCTTCAGGTGAGAAGCAAGCCCTCCTATGACCATCTCCTAGAAGCCGCTGAGGTGGCTTCCCCCACAATTTAATCTGCTAAAAGCAATCCAGCAAATCTGTACAATTTCCCCAAGACCCACCGTACAAGACAGGGGTTGCTTTCCCAACATTGACAAGTAGTAAAGTTTGCCTTCTTTGCCCTTTTGAGCGTTTGGCCCTTGGCATTTGGGAAGAACATATGTGGAGATCTCTGGAAATCCCCAGATACGGAAATATTACTAAGTATAACTCCATTTCCTGCTAAAGAACGGTCACTTTCTTATACTTTAATCCCTTGCACCAGAAAAGTGGCTTTCTCTGGGGGCCTAGTGGCTGATTCAGTAGGGAAGGAGAGACTCCTGTTGAAATGTGGGTCTGGGGAGCAAACTGGCTTTGTCACTAGCCAGTGATTCACTCTGCACACCAGTGCCCCCACATGACTCAGCTGCCAGCCTCAGTAGCATGACATGTCACAGCAACCTTTGGGTTTGCCACAAATTATCAAAGTTATTAAATGTTTAAAGAGTGCCAAAGGTCAATGGTACCTCCTTTCCTGCCTTCTTAGACACATGATATTTCTTGAGGCTCTAGACTTTCTTGACAGCAAGGAAAGCAGCCGGTAAACTCTTTCACCCCAAGGAGTTTGGGTATTCTGAGGTCTTCCTGCAGGCTGGATCAGGGAGTGGGGGCAGTGGTCTTCAATTTAAAGGAGAGCCTGAGGAGGGCAGATCTAAAAACGAAGTTACAGCATTGTAACAGAATGCTGGTGGAAGGTTCGTTACCTACCGAGGAGTGAGGCCAGTAGTGTACAGACACAGGGAATCACTCAACTTTTCTACCACAGTTGAGGCATTTTCTGTAGAAGCCAGGGACTGTGCCATCTGAGGCAAAAACCAAACCCAGTCTCTGCTTTCAGGGAGCTCAAACCTGGGCAAACAGTTAAATTACAACCATGCACAAATGGTATTCCTGTTTTCTGCTACAAATGACCTCTAAAACACAGTGGCTTAAAACCTGGGGTAATTTTATTATTGTTTCTCATAGTTCTGTGGGCTGGCCAGGTTTACCTATGAGGTTCTTGCTAGGGGGCTCTCATTCAATTGCAGGTGGATAATAACTATGGCTGGAGCCATCCCAAAGGCTTCCCTGCTTCTCTGTCTAGCAGTTGGTAGTCGCTGGTAGCTGAGATCCTAGCTGGGCTGTCAATATCAATATAACCAGTACATGTAGTGTCCCCATGTGACCTGAGTTTCCTCATAGGATGCTTGCTATGTCCAAATAGAGAGGAGGCAGAGGCTGAGTGGCCTTTTATAACCCAGGCTCAAAAATCATACAGCATCACTTACATTGTATTCCATTGGGTTTAAATAGTCAAGAGCCCACCCACATTCAAGGGAAGGACACATAGGCCCCATTTCTCAGTGAGAGGAATATCAAAGTCACATGCCATGAACAGCATGTACAACAAGAAATATTGTTGTAGCCATTTAAGAGAATGCGATCTGTCACCCAGGGAACAGTGGGTGATTCCATCCCTTGGGCCCATAGCAATAGAACAACAGGAACAAGATGTATATGTTGGGTAGTGGAGGGAGCTACTGTACACAGGTCATTGAAGGCTTCCTAAGTGCTGGGCACGGGTTTTGGAGGATGGAGGGAATTTTTCCACACATGCTTGGTAGACGTGTACATAGCCTAAGTCAGTAAGAATGTAGTGTGGAACGGGGGAACAGAACAAGGTGTATTGCCAGAGGGTGAAGTGCAAAGAGGGGATGAGAGAGGGTCAGAATGGTGTCAGGTCAGATCTTGAAGGTGGTGTGCCACCACGTGTGGACCTCTTCCCACACAAGGACAGGAATTGTCTGCACAGGAAAGAGAAGCCACCATGCTCACTTTGACAGCCAAAGGTGAATGGTTCTGCAAGGACTGTCAAAGAAGTGAAAAGGTTGGTGATAGCCCTGGAAAGATGGTAATAAGAGTGCCAAGAAGGTGTACAGGGGGATGTCTAGAGTGGGAAATACACTAGATTTGCTGACTGGGTGGGGACAGGGCTGGGAGGGAGCCTAGAAAGTAAAACCCCACCATGTAACTTTAATCAGTGAAGATGTGGACATATAATGGAAGGTGTGTGTTCTAAAACTGCTCTGTTGATGTTCAATGTTCTAGACTTCTAGAAAATCTTTAGTACACAAATTGTAAATATTAAGGAAAATCCAATTCTTCTCTTTATTTGGAAAGGAAGGTGGGGGCCATCTTCTACAAAGACCATCTTTTCATTTGAATTAACATGCACAGATTTAAAAGAGCAGAGGCCACTGCAAAATGTCCTAGTGGAAAATTCCACTACCAGAAAGGAGGTAGGCTTAGAGGCTGAAGTCAGGTAGCTCCCACCTGAGTGGTCTCTACCAGGAAAGGTTTCCTGAACACCCACAATGTTCCAAATCCTGTCCTATTTAGGAGCCACAGTCCAGCTCCAGGGGCGAGCACATGCTATGATAAGCAGTATCAAGCCATGATAAGCATCTTGCCAGAACTTGATATACATTATTTCATTTAATTTATTTAGTTTCAACAAGTGTGCTGAGCATGGATTACATGCCAAGAAATGTTCTAGGTACTGGCAACATGGTGGTAAATGACTTGACAAGTTTCTTGCTCTCCTGGAGTGTACATGCTAGCGTCAGCAAGGGAAAGTAAATAGTTTTAAGGTAAGAACTTTAGAGAAAATTACAAGGACTTCTTGAGTGAACAATGATGGGTGGTCAGGGAAAGCTGTCTGAGGAGGTGACAGGTAAGCCAATGT